GATAGGGATTTCATCAAATTTGCAGACGACACCAAGCTGGCAGGAATAGCCAATACTCCAGAAGACAGGCTTAAGATACAGAAGGATCTGGACAGGCTTGAACACTGGGCACTATCTAACAAAATGAAATTCAATTGTGAAAAAAGCAAGGTTCTACATTTAGGCAAGAAAAACCAAATGCACAAGTACAGCATAGGTGGCACCTTGCTCAATAATAGTAACTGTGAGAGGGACCTTGGAGTCCTAGTAGACAATCACCTAAATATGAGCCAGCAGTGTGCTGCAGCTGCCAAAAAGGTCAACACAGTGTTAGGCTGCATTAACAGAGGGATAGAATCACGTGAAGTGTTAATACCATTTTACAATGCCTTGGTAAGGCCACACTTGGAATACTGCATCCAGTTTTGGTCATGCGATATAAAAAAGATGTTGAGACTCTAGAAAGAGTACAGAGAAGAGCAACAAAGATGATTAGGGGACTGGAGGCTAAAGCATATAAGGAACGGCTGCTGGATTTGGGTATGTCTAGTTTAATGAAGAGAAGGACGAGGGGGGACATGATAGCAGTGTTCCAATATCTCAGGGGCTGCCACAAAGAAGAGGGAGTCAAGCTATTTTCCAAAGCGCCTGAAGGCAGGACAAGAAGCAATGGTGGAAACTAATCAAGGAGAGAAGCAGCCTAGAACTAAGGAGAAACTTCCTGACAGTGAGAACAATTAACCAGTGGAACAACCTGCCTCCAGAAGTAGTGAATGCTTCAACACTGGAAGTTTTTAAGAAGAGACTGGATAGCCATTTGTCCGAAATGGTATAGGGTTTCCTGCCTGAGCAGAGGGTTGGACTAGATGACCTCCAAGGTCCCTTCCAACTTTACTACTACTACTATTATTATTATTATTATTACTTCCCATTTTCTTGCCTATTATGACTTGTATTCCTAATCTGTTTTTATGGTACAGTTTTTGATAGGTTGGATTGTTTTTTCCTTTTGTGTAAAGACAGATGCAAAAACAAGTTAAGCAGTTCTGCTTTCTCCCTGTTGCTTGTCACCTTCTTGCCACTTTCTCCCATTAATGGACCAATTGTTTCCTTCACTTTTTTCTTGTTTTTTACTTGTTGAAAGAAGCTTTTTTTGTTATTTTTGACTTTTGGCAGAAGCCTTAGTTCATTTTGAGCCTTAGCTTTCCTCACTTCATCTTTGTGAGCTCGGGCTATTTGTTGATATTCTGCCTTAGTTATGTGCCCCTCTTTCCACTTTTTATACTTGCCCTTTTTGTCTTTCAATTTATCAGAGAGTTCTTTATGCAGCCATGTTGGTTTCTTTTGAGAGTTGTTATTTTTCTTCTTCATTGATATTGTGCTAGACTGACTGGGCTTTTATAATCTTAGTTTTCAAAGTTTCCCAAGCTTCTTGAGTTGTTTTCCTCTTGAGGATTCTCAATCCATAGAATCCTTCCCAAGCTCTAAGTTTATTGAAATTAGCTCTCTTAAAGTCTACGATTCTAGTTTGACTTTGTTCTATTGCTTGTGTTCCATAATGTTGAATTCCAATATTGCATGATCACTCCCCCCTCCCAAGATACCTGTGACTTCAACACCTTCTATCAATTCATCTCTGTTAGTGAGAATTAAGTCCAATATGGTTGATCCCCTAGTTATGTTTTCTACTTTTAGGGAGACAGAGTTGTCTGCTAGGTTTGTCAGCAACCTGTTTGATCTTCCACTTGGTGCAGAGTTTGTCTGCATATGTTTATTTCTTGGCTCAAGATGCAATTAGGGGACATTTGTGTTTTTGTACCATACTTTGTGCAAGATTCACTCTGATAGTTTTCTAAGGGGGAGATAGTGTTAGAGGATATAAAGTTAAATATATCAGTGAGGTATTGCAGAAGGAGATTATTGTTGGTGTAGAATAGAATTAGACTTTGATATTTCTTTGGTTAACCAGTATATTTCAAATGTAATTTGAATTTGTAATTCAAATGTAATTTCAATATGTACCATTATATTTCAAATAATTACGGTACACAGCAAAGTTTAAGTTGAAGCAAGGAGTCTACTAAATTATTTTTAGCCTGCTATACTTGGGTGGGGTGGAAGGATGTAGATTGTGTGGAACATTTATTGTATTCATTGAAAATGATCAGAGAAAGTATTTCGAATATGTAGGCGACTGAATTTTCCGCTTGCTAGTTAAAATAGTCTGAGAAACCACAATGAGTATTTCTTGAATTGGAACCACACAACGATTTATACATCAGCAAACTATGTTTTCAAGAGAGGTTTTGCAGATTATATAAACAAGTTGCTTATTAAATCTGATATGGGCTTGGACTCTTAAGTTGGGTAAAGTCATGCTTGGCTAGCATGTTATTTTTAAAGATTTTTAGGGAAACTTGTTATTTCCCATGGAAATAATTTTTGAGGCAGTCTAGAGTGTTGCACAGTTGCCAAATTAAAGGGAGTAGTCTTTTTTTGTTTTTAAAGTCAATAGTTCTTAATATTTTTATTACTTCAGGACAACCAAAATTTTGCTTGCACCAAAATGTGGAAGTTAATGGATAATTGAACAAGATTAAATTACTTCTGGCATTATCAAAGCACTACCATGTTACAATGTTAGGGGTCTGTCAGATTTCATTCCAGTATATTTTTGTCTTTCTGTTAATCTCAGCAGGAGTTAAAATGTTTGTTCAAAGATAAGTGCAGCAACTTATTTTCAACTGTGTGGTAGCTTGGTTGTATTTTCTTTCATGTTACATTCTTTGGGAATTCTGGTTGCCATTTCTGCAGTTTTTTCAAAGAAACATTTGAAATTTAAAGTCTCAAGATAGAGGAGAACTCAGCAGGAATGTTAGTAGAATGTTGTTAGTTGATATCACATAGCTCTGGTTTATTTAAACTCCAGGAGAAGTTCCTCATGTATCTTTCTAGATTAAAAGAGTCCCAGCCCGTATCAGATTTAATGAGGAACTCATTTATATAATCTGCAAAATCTTATTTTAAAACATAGTTAGTTGATGAATAAATCATTGTGAACAGCAATATTCAAAGTAAATTAAGCAATAAACTGTTAATTACGGCATCAATAATTACTTTTCAAAGACCATCTGAAAAAAATCAGTTTTCATGAATTTTATTCATGTTAGTAGTGTAAAGATAAGGCATAAAGGCAAGAAAAAATACTTCTTAATGGACGTTTCTTATTAGTGTATGGTTGGTTGGTTCCTGAGATGGTGTTGGCTACTTTCTCCCATTAGTCTAGTTATTATGATATGTACTGCCTATTTATGAGTTTTACAGTTTATCAATAACTGGTTCCCCATCCATATTTGAAGAAATATCTGAAAAAATAATAGATTTGGGTCAAAGTCTACATTGAAACATAGAAAATATAGCTCATTTTTCACCTTCTCCCTCTTCAATTTGCTGACTTAAATCAAACACTCTTTTATTGGTCCCACACTCATCACCAGGATTTTTTTTCCATGGCTTCTTCCAGGAATTTAAATTTTATTTGGGCAGAATATTGACATGTAAAGAACTTCTGACTGAGGTTGGAGCACTATTTTAAGCTCTTTTAAATAACTGTATTTTAATTATTACTATTTTTTCTGCCAAAGTACTGTCTTGATTACTTTCCATAGTAAGAGAGGAGTAATAAGTCCCATGAACAGATATAAATTATATTTCTGTTTTTCTAGTATTTCAAGAGGTCTATTGATTCATGTACTCTCCAGTAAGTTAAAGATTGATAAAAAGCAAAAAGTGTGTAATACAAACTGTTTGGGGGAACTTAGAAAAGGGCAGTAATAAGGCAGTGCTGCCACTTTCTGTAGAAAATTAATTTATTGCCACAATCTATTTTTCAGGAAGACAGTCTAAGTCCAACATTGTAGAGAAATGCATAAATAACCTTGAAAAAGTATGTAGAAGCCCTTAAGACAAAAGAAGATTAGCTTTGGATAGTGAGATGGGTGGCATATACATTTAATAAATAAATAGAAATTTATAAACTGCCTTGATTATGCGTGATATAAGATGGGGAAGAAAAACATTGTAATTCTTTAAGGTTCTGTTGTTATCCAGGAAGCAATATTTCTTATCCTTGGCAATTTTAAGATGCATGGACTTTAACCGTCAGAATTTCCCATTTAGTATACTTACATGGGAATTCTGGGAGTTGAAGTTCATACATCTTATTAAAGTTGAGAAACACTGGGGGAATCGTTAGGAAGCACACAGGAAAATGTATAATGAACATGAAGACCTGGATCTTCCCACACAAGGATTAGGCTAGCATGAGGATGTAACTGGGAGCCTGTTTGTTCTGGTATTGGGTGTGGGGAGAGAATGGTGGTTTTGTTTTAACTCTGCTTTTACTCATGGTTATGAGCTACCTAGGATCATTATATGAGATAGGTAGCCATATATATTCTGTAAGTAAATAAACAAATGACAAATTACAAAAGAGAAATCCAGAGATGCTCAGTTGAAAGATTTCCATTGGAAGAAAACATAGGAGCAGTTAAACTTTACAGAATGAAGGCGTATTTTCAGTGTGATTATGTATTGCTGCATATTATAGCATAGTTTGTTATGAAGGACTCTCTTCTCTTGTATTAGGAAAGGATGACATTTGGCCATTCCAAAATACACTGTCCTGAATTTTTAGATTTTACCAATTAGCTATTAAAGAAAATATATTGTATTGTAAGAGAATAGCAACTGTGGGGACAAAATTGCTGTCACCTGATGCTCTTTAATAATGCAGATTTATAAAAATAAGAAACATCCTGTTGGGCAATGCCAAAGGAATTCTTGTCTGGTGTATTTGAAATAATCCTTTTTGAAAACTAATGACTTTCCTTCACTTATCCAATTCTTCCAAAATATTAGATCTTCTGCATCGAAATATTAAACATTTTGTAACACATTTCTTCAGTTTTGCTTTCTAGCATTCCCTACTCTTAATAGGTTTGTTTTCCTACTCTTAATAGGTGTAATAATGAAGATTTACACAAATTGCCACAGCAATGGTTATACAATGTCCTGGAAGAAATTAAATCTAGTAATCCTTCATCTAAACTGTGTGTCACCAGACGCAGTGCTGGAATTCCTTTCTATATACAGGTACCATATGTATTTGATCTTGATATGACCACAGTTTCTGGACTGAATCACAATGTATTGTTAGTTAAATACTAAGAAATTTTTGGTTGGATGATTCTAATCTAATGGTATTAGAATTTCTTCCAATTCTCTTATTCTGTTAGAACTTTGAATTGTTATTAGTAATATTTTAGATGAAATATAGTTATATCTTTCTGCCCACAAAATGGGCATCTTTTGTCAAATACTATACTTGCTTTATAGTCCTACATATTGTTTACAAATATGATTTAGGAGAATGACTTGAATTCAAGACTAATGCCTAATACAATTCTACTGGGGATTTAAGCAATGTACAACTTGATAACTACATACATACCATTCACTTCAAATTAAAGATCTTTGAAACACAAATAAAGTATAAAAAATCTTCAGAGAACACAAAACTATAATTGATTCTGATAATTATAGTTATGGACTTAAGTGATCTATATGGATTAGATTATATTAGATAACCTTTATTGTCATTTTTTCCTGTGGGCACAATGGCACACATTAAAATGAAATTTAGTTGCTTCCTCTCATATACAACATATGTATAGACCTACACCCTTACATACAAGTAACATATAAATATTAATCACTGTCCATCTTGAATACATAACGGAAGGAGGAAGCTATATGGAGACTAAAGAATGAAATGCAAATTAAATGAAATACAAAATACTATATATGCTACAATATAAAATAAAAGAACAAAGAATCTAGAAGAAAGGCCTGGTCATGATGAGAAAATACTTTTAATATTCAACCCTCACGCTTTAGTTAAATCCAACACATATGTTCATATAAATATACTGCAGAGTCCAAAAGGAGAGTGTTTCTGCAAAGCTGCTGTTATAGGATGACGGCCCTTCTGAAGCATATTTGGTATAGTGTATGCAGAAAGAGAATAAAGAAAAGATCCCTTTAGCATTGTATCAGTCTTACATTTTCTAAGTTCCAAATCTGTTTTAAAGATAATCATAACACTGAAGATAGAAGAAATTCAGAATTATATTGGAGAATTGCTCTTAGGTTATTATCATTTTATTTGCTCATGGATTTTGGAAACTTATTCTCTGAAATGAGACAGGATACAAAATAGTATCAAAGATGCTGAAATGTAAAGCACATGTGAACACATACACAAAGACTAATTTGTAGATTCTCTCATAGTGTACTTGCCTGCTGCTTCCAAGCTTTGTTTTTCCATTTAGTATTTGAGTCAATTACTATTTTGATGCCACTTTTATGGCTGAAATGTTGAACAGTCTCTAATTGCTATATTTTATTATTAATCTCTGTAAACAACATGAGCGTTTATGGAGTTGGTGATACATTTTTCCCGTACAATTTTCTATTTCCTTTGTCCTAAATATAATAGATTTAAAGAACTTTTGAATTTTTTAACGAATTGCTTCAATTTCCTAAAAAGATACTGCATGAGAATTCTGCATAAACATAACACTAAAATGCAAATCACAATTCTACATTTTGTTTGATTGAAATGTTTAAATGTTCTTTTGCTGCTCCTGAAGCTTATATTTGGAATTTCCAAGTTGTCATGTTTAAATGTAATAAAAGTGAGAAATGTATATTATATCATTTTATTTTATTTCTTTTTTTATTTCAGGCCTTATTAGCTTCAGAACCAAAGAAAGGTAAAGCAAGTCTACTAAAAATGACCATGAAAAGTTTGATAAACTTGGCTTTACCTTCAGATAGGCTCGCAAGTATAATTTCTCAGGTAATGCATCTCTCTATCTTTATGTCTCTTTCTCTGTTAATTCAGAGGACGAGGCTGTGAGCAGAATTTAAATTTGATATGATTCCTTCTTCTATGCTTAGAATTGCTCATCTTCTATCCAATTTTAATTAAATTGAAGGCAGACTTTTAGGAGCCAAATCTAAATATCAAGGGCCTTAAATTACAAGTCTTGTGGAATGATTGTGAGATATAGGAGGGTACTGATTAGTACCATTTGTACTAATACCCCATTTGTATTTGGATTTTTTTTTTGTAATAAAGTTGGCATACATAATTTTATGATACATTTCAACTAAAGTTCTTATGTTAACTCCTCCCCCCAGGTTCATGCATTAAATATCTTGAGAGCTTTATTCAAAGATACCCGCTTAGGTGAACATATCATTCCTTATGTGGCAGATGGAATGCAAGCAGCAATATTAGGTTTTACATCTTCTGTCTGGGCAGTAAGTTGATCCTTTACTTATAGTATATTAAGTTTGAAAGCATTGTATTAACGGTGACCAGACCAGAGATTATGGTTTTCTATAACTTTATAATGTCAGATTTTTTTAATTAATTATTTTTTATAAATTAGATAGAAGGTATGCTGAGTATAGAGCTAACCTGCTTTCATAGGACACATGCTATGAAACGTGTAAAACCACTAAAATTGGCTATTATATCCACTAACTTTTCATTTGATTTTTATTTAGGGTTTTTATACTAAAGGCTAAACATTTATTTGACTGAAAAAAATTATTTCATGACATAGAATACAGCTTCTAAGTGATATGTTGAAATTAAAATCCAGGTACTTTTAAAAAATTGTTATATCTTCAAATGTTACTTAGCCGATTAAAATAGTAATAGTAGCCAGTGTAGTCTCTTGGTCTAAAATAAGAGAATATTTTTTTGACTGGTTTCACTGGCATTTCAGAATCATATTAAGTTGCATGCAGGCCATAAACATTTCTCTGTGTCATATATTCTGTATATTCCCAGACATGTACACTACTTATACATAGCTCTGTGTCCATAGAGAAAGGAGCTGCCTACTTCTCTATGCATGTAAAATAATGCAAATGAACTGGCAGTTCAAGAAGAAATGTGACATCTTTTCTATGAACAGATTATGTTTTTCTCAGTTAATTCAGAAAGGGGTTGTACCGTTAAACATACACAAAAATACAGTATGGCCATGGAGAAAGGGAGTAGTCTCTTCCTTGCTAGATTTGAATGCTGTTCTCTGAAAGTGCAGGATAGAACCTCCAGTGAGTTCTTGCAGGCATTCATATGGAGACTACATGGCCAGATGTTTTCATATATGGTCTAAATGAGATCACGTTATTTATATATTCACAATCTTTATTCTACAATTTACTTCATATGGGACTATTATGCACTATAGGTTGCTGAAAGCATCAGACCCCTAATGTCAACAATTTATTAAAAACAGATGGAAATATAGTGGATCAGTATGTCAAGATATTTTAGGGAGTTATTAAAATATAGTCATAAATGTTGTGCGTTACCATAAGCTATTAATAAGATGAAAATGCATACAACTGAAATTACAATTAAGAGATTTATAAACCTAACCCTAACCCTAACACACACAAAACCCCCAGATTATCGGTCAAATAAGAAATCTGATAAAAGAATCAGAGACTGTTCTAAACATAAAATATATTCAGTTATAAAAATTAACCAGAAAATGCCACTGCTTTAAACATATCCTCAAGGAAATCTTTCCACAGCCATAAGGATTGTCTTACTATTAGAGCAAATAAATGTTTCTATTGTTTTACTATTGGCGTAAGGAAGTGGAACTTCTGAAATCAATCCAGTACTTATTTTCAGGAGGATTGAGATTAAATATTTTATATGAACTGCTGGACAAATTTTAGAAAATAACGAGCAATATCCTCTTCAGCACTCTTAACCATAAGGTCATTGACAAAGATTACAAATAACTTATACATCTTGCACAGCTGAAGGCACTTGCTGCCTTCTTAATTATATCAAGAAATTCCTGTAAAGGAAGAAATACTTTTAATATAATTTTTACATTCAAATTTGTTTTGCATTACACTATTGCCATGTAGCAGTCTTTTCATTAGATAGTGTAGGCTACTTTGGATAGCTGTATCATCTAGCCGAATTTTATATAATTGTTTTTTTCTGTAAAATGATTTAAAATGAAAAAGGCTAATATAAAAAACAAACTTTGAGAGCCCAGACCTTGAAAACATGTTGTACTTTTCTTGCACATGTCCTTCATATCTGAAGACAATTTAGATAGTCTATTATCTCAAGGTGATTGTAATTTGAGAACAAAATTAAACATTCTCATAGAGAAACTTGATTTTGATTTGAAGTATGCCTATTTCAGAATAGAGAGAAGAAGGCAATGAATTAAAATTGGTCTTAAATATGTATTTTGTTAACAAGATATGCATATCCTAGCTTTTAGCACTATACAGAAATGGAGAACTATTCTTGCTTTAATTATTGAAGGACTGATTGCATTTAATAATAATAATAATAATAATAAATAATAATAACTTTATTGTCACTTTGAAAGTACACCAATCGGCATACATCAAAATGAAATTTTGTTGCATACAGCTCTCAAAGGGTTACCACCTCCAATATACACTCCTTGTTCGTGGCCAGCTCAAGTTACAGATCTTCCATTTTAGTCTCTAGGGAGCGAACGATGGCAAACAGGACAGATGGAAATGGAGCTCCATGTGGATTATCCCTCAAATTAGTTTGTATTCCTGCATGACAACCTCCTTTAGTAGCATCATTTACCTTCAATGTTTTATATTGAGCAAACTGACTGTCAGATGAGGCAAATACTATTACTACTACTACTACTACTACTACTACTAAAATTGAAAGGGACCTTGGAGGTCATCTAGTCCAATCTCCTGCTCAGGCAGGAAACCCTATACCATTTCAGACAAATGGCTGTCCAGTCTCTTCTTTAAAACTTCCAATGTTGGAGTATTCACAACTTCTGGAGGCAGGTTGTTCCACTGATTAATTGTTTTAACTGTCAGGAAATTTCTCCTTAGTTCTAGGTTGCTTCTCTCTCTGATCAGTTTCCATCCATTGTTTCTTGTCCTTCCTTCAGGTGCTTTGGCATAGATAACAATACATGGGCATTTGTTCAATGAATGAGGCTATTGTCTTCAGTTATGTTCAGTTTGTAACTTTTAACATCTGCTTTTTTATATTTAGTTACTTACCTCCACAGTAATTATCCAAGGCCAGTTATAAACTACTCCTGTCAATCTGAGGGGTAAAAGAATCACATTATCAATATTAAGCAATTAAGTCTTCTTTTACATAGTTGAACTACAGAATGTGGCTTTCTTGTCAGATCTAAAATAGTATCATTTACAGTACATCAGATATTGATTGATACTACAAGTAACTGAGATATTGACAGATTTGAAAACTATTTCAGGAAAATCTTGTATGTATATTAGAATTTTATTCTAATCAAATATTGCTGAATCAACAGTCCCAAAAGTAAATAAATGCAACATATAGTTTGGTTTTATTTTGTACTACCTGCCCTAGAGTAAACAGTGAAGAAGTTTGAATATCCGGTCCAATATGAGTTAATTGTACTTTACTATAAACTTAAAACGTCTATATGATTTCTTTTGTCATTGCCCCAAATGTTTGTAGTATTGCTAAAAGGTTCTTAAATTCTGATGAGAAGTTCTTATTCAATAGAGTTTTATTTGAGAAAAAATGAAATAAAATTGTACTGCTTTGATTTGCTATTTAAATGGGAAAAAAATCCATATTTTTTCTCCCAAGGTCCTTTGATTGATCAGTGCCTTGACATTTTCCCTAGTTATCAGCTGAGCGTTCAGTTGAATTGGTGTATTTTCCCCATTTTATTTGGAATTAAACAAAAAAAATAAATAAATCCACAGGGTTTAAAGGAACTTTTACAAGTTAATTTATCTGAAACCTTCATGACACATTAGAAGCCAGAAGACCATTCCAGGGCATCAGAAACAGTTTTTCATTTTTTTGATGGTCCCAAAACTTTGATCTTTTAACTACAGGGAAAGAGAAGCTTGTGATTCTGGATTACTTATGTACTTTGATGTAAAAACCTCCATTCCCTTTTATAAAGATTTAATCTCTACTATTCACAATGAGTTGTAATGAGCAACCTGAGAGAGATCTACCCAGATGTATTATAAAGTAGTGATAAAATTGTAATATAAAACAGAACGAAATATAAATAATGTATTTCTGTATAAAAGATGATATTTTGTGGTAAAGCTCCATGCTCCAAATATTACAAAATCCAGTGTAATAACTAAAGAAATCAGACAACAGGAAATGTCTTCAGATAGCTAAGAACCCACAGGACAAAAAACTGTATACTATTCTTATTAGGCTTCTTCCTTCCTTCCTTCCTTCCTTCCTTCCTTCCTTCCTTCCTTCCTTCCTTCCTTCCTTCCTTCCTTCCTTCCTCCCTCCCTCCCTCCCTCATCAATCAATCATCATATTTCTGAACTGCCTATCTCCTTCAGAGAGGGTCTCTGGTTGATATACAATATAATCAATATATAAAGAATGTATAAAATTAACATTAAATTATTAAAATTAATTTAAGGTTTAAAAACTTAAAATTATAACATAAAATTTCAAGAAGGTAAAAAAATTCAAAATGGGCATTTAGCATTAATTAATACAGATGGAAGGTTTCTCATGGGGCCAGCCAGCCTCATAGTTGTGTGGTTCTTTGTGCCTCCCATGCAAGGTCACAGGACCAAGTTTGGATTCCTTTGCAGAAGGCCAGGAGATTGTACATCTGTAATCTAGTACGTATTTAAAGAATAGTACTCAAAGATAGGAGAATCATCGGGTATGCCTTGATAACTGGTCCAGATTAAGTAATCCCCCTTCCCCTGCTTGGGAGTTGCAAATTGCATCTTGTATTGTAATGTAAGTATATATTCAACGTGATATTACTTTTCCCACATGCTGATTCTAATTAAAAATGGGGATAAAGCCCATCTCTCTCATTTTCTAGATATCCATTGTCTAGGAAAGTGGATGATAATGATATTCTTAAAAATGTGTAGGGGCTTGTGGGTTTCTTCCCCCTTGTCTCTTAAAATATGCTGTTGTGTTAGGAGTAGGAAGAAACTAGGGAATCCTTACTGTGTTGCTTGTTTATCAAGAATGTCAGGCACAAGAAATCAGGAACCAAGGTTGTTCGAAAGAGTACAAGTTTAATCCATGCTAGCTCACTATAAGAATCTAAACTATTAACAGTCAAGGCAAATTGGCGGTTGATAAAGAGTCAACGGAATTCAAGGAGGTCTGGACTCATATCTCTTATGGGCACAAAGTACTCCAAACTGGTGACAGGCTTGACCCGTCCTTTGGGTTGCTCTTCAGGATAAGATGGAGTGGCATATAAATTTAACAAACAAGCCTATTAAAAACTGAATACAAATATCTTAATATTTGCTGTGTTTCTTAATATATTAGGTGAGAAATTCATCTACGCTTCTCTTTAGCACTCTCATTACAAGAATATTTGGAGTTAAGAGAGGAAAGGATGAGAGCTCAAAGAAAAACAGGTATGTTCATTTCAGTAAGAAATACTTCTCTAAAATGTATTGTAGTTAAGAACAAATTTATAAACTTTGATTACATATAAATTTATATGTGAAACATAATGTTACCAAACGATATGGAGTCTTTTTTCAGAAATGATCCCAAGCATTACATACATTCTGATGTATTGATTATACTCTTTAATTACATCAGACAACAATTTTTTTCAGAAATATTTCTTTCTCAAAAACTTTCAGTGAGTATGACAGTTTCTTTCAAACTGAACACAAGTATAATTTCAGAATGTCTGTGTTACATACTGTAGGTATCTTAAGAAATATGAAATTAACTTTTAATGACTATAGTATATTTAATTGCATAAAGTTTTCAAAATGCTGCATGAATTCAACAGAGCTAAAAATGTTTTGCTGCTGATTTTAGTTTGTATTTGGTGTTTGATGCATCTCACTGTAGTGTCCAGCAATAGTCAGTCAACATTGATGGATTCCAGTTGTCCCGTTACTGTTTTTCCATTGTGGCAATGTCCTGGTGAAACTTTTCACTATGTTCATCACTGACTATATCTAGATTTTTGGGAAAGAAGTTCAAGCGTGAATGCAGAAAATGAATCGTCAATGACACATTGCACTTCATGGTATAAGAAGTTTGTTAATCAGCCGGATGTAGTTTGGTGCTCTGAAAATTGGTGCCAAGAAAATTCTCAATGACATCCTTGAATTGCTTTCCAGGCAATTTTCTCTGGCTCCACTAACAGACCTTCAAAGCACTTGCCATTGTTGACATATCTGATTTGTGGACCAACAAAAATGTCTTCCTTAATCTTGGCATCAGTTACGTATTCTTGGAAACACCTGTCTCAAAAAAACAGGTTTATCATTTTTGTCACAAGCATTTAGCTTATGTTGCATATAATGCATTCAAAAAATTATCTGAATCATTATCTGAAAAAAAAAATCCTCTGAATCTCCATCTGAAATCTATGTCTTCTTGGACATTCTTGAACTTTTCACAAAGCATTCTATTTATTGTCACACATGTTTTAGTTCCATTATATATCAGTATTTATGTACTGATTTATCTAGCAACTGATCTTCAATTCCACATTTTTGCAAAACATTGCTTAGTTCAAGCCTTTTCACTTTATCATTTGCTTTTTCTGACACGAGAAATATACAGTCTATTTTCTTTCATTTTTATACATTTCTCGGTGTCTTGCTGAAAATCAGAAATCTCAGCTGCTTATTTCCTGCCTAGCATATAGCCACATTATACATTCCAGATTTGGCTCATTATTATCTCTCATGCAGAATTGTGCCAAACATTGCACACTTAACAAATACAGAATGTTTTTGAGAAATAACCAGAACCTACTGGAATGTATGAATTCTTTATGTAACAAATGCACTGACACTATTTTAAATTGATCTTTGACAATTCATTCTTTGCCTAAAATCACTGCTGAAGAAAACATTATTGCTTTTCACCTCTGTATTTCAAAACCACTAGATGTCTCCCTTGATACATTTTTTAATAAAACAAATGCAGTGCACCTACAGCAACTATGTTTTGTTTGGTTTCCTTAGATAGCCTTTGTTTGCATCTTCATCTTGAATTTAGATTGCATTTTATAAAGCTAGTTTTGTCACTTTAAATGTGGCAATAATTTGGAATTGTGAAATCTGCAAGGAGGAACTGATTCATAAAAGTGAATTTTATTTCTGTAGATTCCAAACAAATGGAAACATCCAGGCTGTCTAACAAAGGAAACCTTATTCAAGTAGATATTATTTATTTCAGAATATTACTTTGATTATCATTCCATTAAGAGGTTGATTCCCTTTAGGGAATATTGATATAAATATTTTTTTAACAAAGCAGAGTACTAGAAATGTAAAATGTCTCCTAGACTTCTACAAGAATTCATGCCACTAGCCTATTTCTCATTGATATATAAAGGATGCCTTTCCAAACCATTGTAAATTGCAGATTTAACATATTTTAAAATAGAGAAAACATGGGCTATTTAGTGTCCAACCCATGCTGAGGTTCAGAAATCCAAATAAAGCTATTGCCAACAAATGATAACATAAATATATCCATTGAAGGGGAACTCCTCATCTCCCTGCTTATTTGCTCTTCTTGTTAAGACTTTTCTTTCCAATTCCAATTTCTAATTCTTTTCAATCTTCCCACAGACTTCATTTCTAACCAGTTCCTGGTTATTCATCTTTTTTTTATTGAAAAATTTATAAACTTTTTACAATAAAATACCTCCCACCCTCCCACCCCCCATAACCCTCCCCCCTCCTTCCCAGAGCTGAATACAAGGTTAAAAAACAAAAAAAAACCATACAAGTTAAATGAACATCAATCAACTATACATACATCCAAAAAAATTTAAAATACTTTAACTCCAATACATAGAAACAAGAAGTCCATTTTTTTATTTTCTTTTTTTTTAATTGAAAAATTTATAAACTTTTTACACCTGGTTGTTCATCTTATTATCTATTCTAATTTAATGGAATTCCTAAATTGTAGTATGCAGAACCTGACACAGTACTTAGTTGGGAGTTGTGCAGTGTGGAAGATATTAGAACTAACATTTCCCCTGAAATGGCTAATATTTTGGTTCTTGTCTTTTGGCAGCCATGTCACACTGCTGATTTATAATTCCAGGCTTTTTCATATATCTTATTATGAAGTCAAGTTCATCTGTGCCTTGTTTTTTTCCCCTAAATTTGAGAACTTTGCATTTTTTGTTATCTTTCCGTTTAGCACTTAACCTATGATAATTATTTTGAATTTTGTTTCCATCTTCTAGTCTATTTGTTTAGATAACATATGCTTTACCTAGCTTAGGTACTGAATTTCTAAACCATTTTCTACACCTTGATTAGTCAATTATTTTTCTAAATAGGTTTAAAACAAATGCTGGAAAATATATTTGTGCCCAAATATCCTCCACTCTCTTCTTTCCTATTTCTTCTATCATATTTTTATAATTAATTACTTTCTTCAAGCTCATTACCCCTGCAGTTTTGTTGGTCTTTTTTTAACTCTTTCAACTTGGGATGGAGTTGGACATACTTTAATTTAATTCCTAATTCACATATCTTTTCTCCTTGTTTTTAAAGTATGTTAGAGATTAATATAAAGAGCAAATATGTTTGCTTGCTAGACACCAGCCAACACAACAACTAGTGTTTTCCAAAGCTAAAGAATCACCTAATCAGGTTGATGTTTGGTAACAGTTTCATGTCTGATACTATGAAGAAAGTCTCATCAATTAAGAAATTCATTTATTTCATCTCTGTTGAATCTCCATTTCCAAGCACTTATTTTGGTACATATATGTAAATGAAATCCATATTCTTAACTTTATAAATGACGGGCAGTGCTATGTTGAAAAGATATAGAAGTTGAGGTTTAATCACAGAAGATCCACACTTATTTCCCTAGTTCACAGGCCGGCAACCTACGGCTCCGGAGCCGCATGCAGCTCTTTGAGCCTTCCCCTGTGGCTCCCAGCCTCCTCTGCCATTTGCAGAGGGGGGGGGACAGAGAGAGGCACTTGCACTTCCCTGCTTCTCTCTCTGTCTCTTTGTGTGTGTGTGTGTGTGTGTGTGTGTGTGTGTGTGTGTGTGTGTGGTATGTGTGTAAAAGAGAGTGGACTCACGGTGTTCTCCGAGGAGCTGAAAAGCTTATTGGGCGTGGCTCCTCCCTTTGCTGCATCTCTGCAGGAAACAGGAAGCAGGAAGGATAGGAGAGAGCTAGCTAGCCCAGCTATGCTGACTCAGGAATTCTGGGAGTTGAAGTCCATGAGTCATAAAAGAGCCAAGGTTGCCTATCATTGAGCTTGTTGGAGAACAGCTTGAAACCAGCTTGCCAGGTGAGTAGCAGATTGGAGAGAGGGAGGGCGGAGAGAAAGAGAGAGGGAGGAAAGAGAGAGAGAAAGAAAGAGTGGGGGAAGAGGATTGGCAGATCAAGGGCAGAAAGAGAGGGAGACAGAGAGAGACCCTTTTGACATCTAAAATAAAGATAACACTGCATATATCATTTTTTACCTTTATATATATATATAAATAAAAGGTAAAAAAGGATATATGCAGTGTTATCTTCATTTTAGATATCAAAAGGGTTTTGCGGCTCCCAGTGTTTTGTTTTTGGTGGGAAACGGGTCCAAGTGGCTCTTTGAGTGTTTTGGGTTGCCTACCCCTGCCCTAGTTGTTGTAAGAAAGCATCAGCTAGTCCAGTGATAGCGAACCTTTTAGAGACCGAGTGCCCAAACTGCAACCCAAAACCCACTTATGTATTTTCAGGTGCCAGGTGGGCATGGCCAATTGGGTGGGCATGGCTGTGGTGGTAACAGCAGACTGGGTGGGACTAAAAAGTTCAATCAATCAATTCCAACTTTACGAGATCTTTTTTTCCCCGCAAGAAGTTGAAATTAAGTGATTGATTGAACCTTTTTTTTTTTTTTTTGCATACGGCAGCGAAGGCCTAAAGCGAAAAGGTTTTATAAAACCCAGCTGAAGGCCTAGGACTGGGGCAAAGGTGCACATGCCCACAGAGAGGGTTCTGCGTGCCACCTGTGGAACGTGTGCCCTAGGTTTGCCACCACAGAGTTAGTCAAATGAGGCTGAAGTTATATTGTTTTAATGCATAGAAGTCACAATCATAAAAATTACATGGCCCATTATTTGCTGAACTTCACTATCCATCGTGAACTTAGTTAAGGCTTTTTCATAATGCTTTTTAATATTCTAAAGAAGTTATAGGCTACTAGCCTTAATTATACTTAGGTTAGGTCATATGCTGCCTTCTCTGCTGATGGTAAAGAGAATACTGAGGGATGTTTCTACAACTATGAAGCTACTATATGCTTAAATAACACAGCTAAGCTTTATTTTTTTAACATTAGAAAAATAATGCTATCCGTCTCCTGCATTAACAAATGACGTATCTGGAATGTTTTTTTTTTCAATCCTTTGCACTACCT